ATGCGTTAGCATGTTAGACGTGTTTCCAAGTACATACCCGACCGCTGTTCTGCAGTGTTGGCACACTGCTTTTGTCTTGTCAACTCGTTTATTTCCATCTTCTTATTTAACCCTGAAACCAAAGTGTTCCCGAATGGAGGACTTAAGGTTTGCGGGTGGGTCTTCAGGCTCGTCAGGCTCACTTGCCATGTTTTCAAAATGCGAGAATGTGCTGCACAAAGTGAAAGCGGAGATTTACGGTCGGACTCGGTCCGTCACTCAATTATGTCCGTCGGGGAACTAGATATTTTAAATGGTTCGGCTCGCAAAAACGGAATTAAGATAAAATAAAATAAAATAATATCCTGCGCCCAATAATTCGGTACAGGGTCGTGCCAAACCGAAAGTTGCGTACCGAACGGTTCGACACAAATACATGTACCGTTACGGCCCTAGTTTTAACATTTAATTTTTGAATTCCAAATAAAAAGAGAAAGCCTTAATATACAGGTGTATCTTTTTTCATCCTTTTGGTTTCAGTCAAATCTGACAATCAAGGCAAAATCAGCCGATGTTTTATGAGGCACAGTCTTTATAGTAAATAGGTAGTGTGACACATTAAAACCAGCTGTTTACTTTGAGGACGTGGATCACCTTTTTTTGGGAATCGGAACATCTGTGTGCTCTCTCACTCAGCGGGCCATTGCGAAGCATAACACATAAAGCCACTGATGAGCAGCATTCGCCATATTGTTAAACCCTCTATTAACATTATAGTGATTACGTGATGAAATAAACCAAATGGAGCAAGTTTTGGGAGCCCCATTGAAACCTTGTGTAAATCCTATGGGAGGCTGCTTTCACAATGTAATACACACGTTAAATTCTTTTCTTCTAACTCTTCTTCTAACTCTTCTAACTCTCATCTAACAGATGAGACTTAAGGTGGCAGGGGTTTCCTTAAATTGTCCACCATGTGTATGTTTTGCTACAGTGAGCACGGCTGCATGAGCCCAAAACTCTGCAGCCTTGTGCAGGACTAGATTATTCCCCTCAGATAATCTCACTCCGGGTTCATGCTGCCCGCAGATTAAACTGGCCTGCTCTCTCTCTCCCCCACCTCCTCTGTTTTGCTTATTCTCCCTGTTCTCTCCCTTGGGAGTCAATGGGAGTGGGATTACCGCTTAAACCCCTGTCACTCAATCCTCATACATACACACAAATACACACACACACACACACACACACACACACACACACACACACCATCTGACACCTTGTAGCATGTTTACTTGGAAGGAGCAAAACAAGGAATATATAAATTATATACATTTCTCTTTTTATCTCCCTGTTATCTGTCTTTGTATAAATAAATTGCTGGTTGATAGCAGCTCTATGGCGCTGTGTTTTTATCCATTTTGTCTCATCAGCCCCACTCAGTATCTGATATATATTTTAATGTAGTCGTTTACTACATCACATCGTCTGTGTCTGCTTCTTTTTTCAGGTTTGCCTCACCTCCCAGCGGCCCATCCTTTGGTGCCCTAGCCACTCAGAGCGCGACGCCGTCATTCGGGAGCCTGGCCCAGCAGAGCACCGGGTTTGGACAGCAGCCCAGCAGCTTCTCAGGCTTTGGACAACAGCCACAGGCGGGAGGTGAGAGTACTACTGCTGCTGCCCCTTTTTTTCCCATCTCCTTTTCTTCCCTCATCATCTTCAAACATCCTCTTGCTTACCAGCGCCCAGTTAAATATTGCAAGCAGCTCGGTCAGTGACTCAAGTGGAGTCTGCGTGCCAGTCTTCCAACATCAGTACAGTTGAATAGTAATGATGACGAAGCATCTTTCTGCTGAGATCAGTCCGTTATTTACCTCTTTTCATCCTGTAAAGCTACACAAGCAGTGCATATCACAAGTGTAATGGCCCACTGTGAGGCTGTGCACTTCGCTCTATTAGTTGGTGATTTTAGGAGGCTTTGAGTACATTATTTATTGTTAAGATAGAAATGTTGGAGCCACCTTGCTCTGACACTTGCAGCAAACTTGCACAGTACGTAGTTGGAGTTTCGGCCACATCCTCTGACGCCACCTAACTCTTGTTTCACGGATAGTTAAAATGCTCATTTCTGCTTCAGCTCTTAAACTTTGCCTTTGCACATACGCAGCCCAATCAGTAGTGCGTATGTGCAACTCACAACTCAGATGAGAAGGAAGTGAGATGGATCACTCAATAGCTACTTCCATTATCAGGAAGAAAATATGTTTTTAATTCTTTTTTTTTTTACCACTTGCTCAATCAGGCAAGTGAGTTGCTAGATTTACTAGACAGATGTGACATTAAACTTGCCCCCAGGCAATCAGGCAATACTTCTTGTTGAGCCCCGGAATATTCAGAATTTTAAATGATTGTTATACACCAAAAAAGCTCTGTTTTTAATAACCAAACATGCATGCGTGTCTCTTCCTCCCACTTTTTTCTGTGTGATTGTTGTCTTTTGTTTCTCTTTTGTTCTTAACTTGTTCAGTTATCTTTGCCTCTGTACAACCTTTAATGGCTTTGTCATTAATCATACATATTGAACATGAGGCTGCCCTACTGCTTCTGTCATTCACTCTCTGCATCTCTATCTCTGATAGCCCCGGGTGGCAAAGCTTTGCCTGTGTCAGTTCATGTTACGTACACAGCACAGACATCTGTTTAATAATGATAACTCGTGCTCTTGGATTAGAATTGCATTAGGATTGTTGCTTTTCATCTTTTTGCGCACTGACAGTCATAATGTTATACTGCCACAGTCACCCAATTTATCACTTATTTCCTGTTTTGCAGGGTTCTCTGGAAACACCTTTGGCTCTACAAACCAGTAAGTGTGGTCACCTCGCTGTCGTCTTGTGTGTGAACTAATTAAGGCACAGATCCACTTTTTTCTGTTCCTCTTTGGCAGTGGTGTGTTGTGTGTTTGAATTCTGCTGAAGCTCACGTCTTTCTTCCACAACAGAGTTCCCCACAGAACCTTTCAGATTCAGTACCACCTCATCCGCCCTCATTTACTGCCTTTCCTTTGTCTTTTCTTCATTTGGAGTAGGACTTTATTGCCATTTCACTGTATTAAAATACAGATGGTTTGGCACTTTCAGCCTTGAGTAAAAAAAAAAAAACGTGTACAAAAATGATACATTAAATCAGGCTTAAAGAGGAGATCCAGTAACTAAAACAACAGTCACACATACATGCTTGTGAACCCCTGTGTAAGGCCACAGTCCCTGAAATGAGTGGTACATGATAGAATGCTCTAGTAGCATGTCCTTACTAATTGCCCCCTTGTGATTAGTTTTCATTCCCATCCTACTGTTTCTCCTTTTTGGTGTCTCATCCCTCACTCCCACTTCCTACCTCTCCTTCTCTTATGCTGCCTCTCCCTCCGCTTGCTGCTGCGTGTCACATGGCAGCCAGCGTTCCCCGGGGTGTGTTCCAGTGGAATGCTCTCTGAAGTGTGCAGGAGTGTGTGGAGACGAGGCTTAGCCTATTGGACACATTCACATGCTGTTAATAATCCTCTCTCCGTCTTATTTGGTCCTTCTTTTGTGACTCCCTCACATATTGAATTCTGCTTCATGCTTATTGTGTTTCTTTGCAAAGCTGTACACGTTTATGGGATTGTGTTATTATTATTATTATTTTCTTGCAAATATGCAGAACAAGCCTCTACAATGTCTGACTGAAACTCGAAATGAAAATCTTTAAAAAAAAAAAAAAAAACAACTCATAATTTAGCAGCCCGGCACAACCAGACTAAATAACAGTTAGTCCTGAGCTATGTGAAACTTTTACATATTCACTAGTTTATTTTTCATTTCATATTACACTGATATCTGATAAATTACACAAGACACAAGGTGTGTCTGTGTTTATTTTTAATCTGAAGTTCTCTGTCCAGCTCCACTGCTTGTTTATTTGTCCTCTTGAATCTTTTAAAACTCCCAATTTCCTTTTATGGTCCTCTTTAAAAAAACAAAACCTAAAGCTCCTCAGCATCACTTATATAAACCGTCTGGTTTACACTTGACTGAAGCTTTATCATTCTTATGTTGGCACAAATATTCAAATCCAATATGTTAATAACAGCACCATACAGTAACATCAAATACAAAACTCTACTGGTCATGTGGTAATTTTTTATAATGCTGTTTCAAGCACTGAACATCTTTTTCAATAATCTCTCCCTCTCTTGCTTTGTCTGTCGTTTCTTCTTCCAGATCAAGTCCTCAAACATTTGCCAGCTGGAGAAGCTAGTTTTATTAAACCTCCACTTCCACAGTACTTTCTGCAATCAAGCTCTTTGTGCCACATAATGGGTGAAGGGGAAAAGGGCGAAGATTGTGTTGCATTTGGGTTAAAAATATACATGCATTTAGTTTATAGAAAACTTTTGTATATTCTCGGAAAAAAGTTTTCAACAGCTTTCACTCATTTATATTCAGTTGGGAAGTTTATACCTGATGTGAGTAATTTATTAAGACACAGGAGAATCAAGCACTGATATCTATACAAGCAGTTTGTGTGAGTTACCTGGAACAACGGGCCTCAGACTTTTAGGAAACCATCAAACTCTATATAATCCTATTGTTAACAAGTCCATGACCTTCTTCAAAAAATGTAGTACATTGTTACACATGAATGCAGTTCACAGACTTGTCATTCTTTGTTGTCATTATATTCATACTCCAGGTTGGTTGTGTCTTCTGGAGTCATTTTGTGTCCCGACATTTTTAAGTTTTTGTTGCTGCACTTTTAAATTTAGAAACACTGAAAGGCTTTGAAGCTTCTGAACAGTTCAGTTTCTCATTAAGTTGTGTTAAATTTTGTTTTCAGCATGGCTGCACAAACTTAAATTCAGTCCGGTCCTATCTGTCAGTACAGTTGCAGAGAAATGTCAAAAATAAATGTTGAATCTCCCAAAAGTAAACAAACCCAATATTTTGAACTGGAGTAAACAGAGTTGTTGTCTGAGGAGAGAAAGAGCTATATTTTCCTTTTCAAATGATTTTTGCAGTAAACCCCGGCTTGATGTATATTTTTACATGAAAAAGTGGAAATAAATGAAATTTCTGAAATTATTTGTCTTTTACAAATGTTATTTCTTAAATAAGTCATGTTGATGGCTTATCGGTTGTGTTTATTTTTTCTAATGATCATGAAAACAGACACAAATATTGATCATAATGTGACCTGTTCACTGCTTCTTTACATTCATGCAGCATTATTAATGTTTAAAAGCAGCTTGCTCCTTCGATAATTGACTTGCCAAGAAGATGATGCTTTGGTTTTATCCCATTATATTGATTTTAATCTACAGCAAAACACTACTAAAACATCCTGGCATACACTGGAATAACACTGCACATCTTCACGGTTATTAACAGGGCACCACTGTGTAGTATTTCCATAATATGGAGGCAAATATAATCTGCATATTAGCCAAACAAAACTAAACAGTTTAATTCGAGGTGGCATGAAAAATAGCATGGCAGCGAGCCCGAGGCTATGTGCACACGGTTCACTAATTAATGCTAAATCCTTGATATGCAGCTCATTCCTCCATCTTCAGTAAGGAATTCACTGACTCGCATACAGAGCTAAATTGGGCTGCGGGAGAATGCTGATGGGGATCTATGGCTCCTACCGGAGCCTCCATGTTGTGGCATTTGGCCACCGTCGACAGAATTACATTCCCGGCTTATAGCTGTGGAGCATGTCACTGTCACTCTGTCCATCCTTATCTCACTGCTCTCACCAAACGGGTGGCAGAGGTCGTGGTCGCTCTGAAGTGGCAGGGGAATGTCAGGGTCATAAAATGTGACCTGAACCAACCGGATGCTGAAATAGTCAAATCCACATTCCCTAGTAGTCTTTAATAGATATAAACAGCAGACTCCCTGCAGAAAGCCACTGGCTTTGTAGATGTGTAAAATACTTGGCTATAAATACACTATAAATGTTTCATAATGAGCAGTGTTACATACATGATGAGACTGATGTTTGATCAACACTGGCAGTATTTGATGTCTCAGGTAAAGATAACGGTCGGACACATTGGCGGATTACAGAGGCACACAGGCAGTTACAGAGCCCAAAGTCTGTAATGCTTTCAGCTAAAGCGGATGAGCTTATGAGATTTTCAGCACCCACTCCACAACTGGCCTCTATGAAAGCATTAAAGGCAGCATGTTTGTTTTATTTTTTTAATTTTACACCACAAATAAAACCGAAATATTCAATAGCGTCAGTACTTCAGTCTTGGGTCACTGTTCCCCTTGATGTAAAGTCTCACAAACACTCAGAAGGATGGCAGCTGCCTTCATGGAATCCAGATAAAAATAGCTTAGTCAGAACCACCTCTCACCCCTCCCCCAACCCCACCTTCATTCTGTGTTTTCCCAGACCCCCCCACCCCCACCAAGTGAGTGATGATTAGCGGCTCTTGAGCACATCCTGCCTCACGCTGCTGACATATTCATCATCTCCCAGTGGATGCATCTATAAGGTCTTGAGGCATTTCTATGAACGGTGGTGAATGCTCCTGACTCTGGTCACCCCAGTGTGTTCCCTAATGTGTATAATGTACCAGCCAGGCTGTTGAGGTCTCACTGTTGTCTGAGGTGAGTGCTACCCAGAGCATTTGGGAGCACCAGCTCCTCTAAAAGAGCATGCTACAATTTTCCCTAATGGGTAATTTTGTCTGCACAGATAATCCAAATCCAATAATCCACTAACAGACCAGGGAGTCCTCTACCCCCTGTTTCTCCTCTCTCTGCACACTGTGCTGACATGTTGGTACCTCTGCCAGTTTGGAGAACAGCACCGTTAGCCACACTGTTGTGAAAAGATTTGACAAGACTTCTAACAATTGTCAGATCACTTGTATTCATACTGTCAAAGGAAATTTATCTGTATCCGTGTCTACCATATTAGTTAAATTCAGGGTTTTAAGACAAGCTAGCAGCATCCCTTTAGGGATGGCAGTATTGGTATGTCAGTTGGTCCACCCCTTTGTTTCAGGCTAAAATATTTTTTAAAAGCTATTGGATGTATCGGCTTGAAATTCGGTGCAGACGATCATGTTCCACTCAGGATCAATAGCTTTTCATCCAGCCCATCATCATGTCAAAATTTCACTTATTCTAACACTTCATTTCATGACCAAATACGAAGCAAATTTTACGTAGTGGCCAAATGTGGAATTACAACTTCAGGGCCTGTGACGTGACTCAATGACCAAAAAAACCCCAAACATTTTCCCATAGAATTACATTGTGAAAGAGGCATCTGTAAAATATTCAGGGGCATAATATACACAGTGCAGGCAGTGTGATTGCACTGGGGCCCCTGGAATTGAGGGGCCTGTAGAGCCTTTTCAAATGATTCAGATTGCCACCTTGGAAATATGCCTGTGTCCAAAGATAAATGATAAAAAAGGAACATTACTGATTAAAAAATGGTGCCGTTTGCTATATAGGTCCTCAAAAAGGTAAACCCTGTGGTTTTATTTATTTAATTATTTTTTAAAGTCAGAAGCTGTCTAAAACAAAATGATATGCTTTTTCTATATAAGTAATACAATCTATAAATAAACTATAGAAACAATTCAATTGAATGATTAATTTCTTACTTTCTTTGATATTTTTTTTTTTTTTTGTCAGATATGCAATGATGATTGCTGGGTAATATGTATGTTGATGTTGTCCAATGTCAAGTCTCTATTTGTGTCCAGGCAATACATGCACAATAGGGTGCACTAGGGCCCATTGTAACTGTCTTACGCTATTGAAATTACTTGATACATTTTTTGAGCATCACAGCCCCCATTAAATGACTCATTTCATTATCAGAATTGGATCCATTCAGTCCGGTAACATTTTAAAAGTCCAGAAGAGCCTCTAGGTGAAAATGTTTTATTAACATCTAAGTTAGCATAAGGCTAAACTGGAAGGTAGCCGCTTTGCTGCGTTAAGTCTGTGGTGCACTTGCTTTATTGGCCCCACAATGCTGAAATTTCATACCATGGAAATTGAGCTTTTTTGGCATCATGCACCATTAAGCAACTTTCATAGGAATGAATGGAGCCCGCCTCAAGAGCTGTATTCAATTCTCTTTAAACATCCATGCCAAATACCTGCTGCATATTGCTACTTAGCAATCGTTAGCATGCTAACACTGATAAATATTGAAACTGCTTAGCATTAGCATATTAGCATCATCATTGTGAGAATGTTAGCAATGCCGATGTTAGCATTTCGCTCAGAGCGTGGCTTTGTCTAAGCACCACCTTTCAAGCAACTCAGCTCAACTCTTGGTCTTGTTCAACATCTTTTTCTGTGGACAATACACATTTTCGATGCCTGCCATATAATTACATAAATCTGCATACAATACTGGACTTCTGTGAGTCCACACATAATAAAGTTAATTGGATGTATAAAAGTTTGGTTATTAAAAGCGGCCATTTTCAAAAACAACACACTCCTAAGTTACAATTATTGCTTCTCCATAATATTGCATCATCACATTTAATATTAACATTTTTTAAATGTTAAGCTTCGACTTTGTCCCCTCTTTAATAGCTGTCACAGTCCTGAAGGTACTGGCACTGTTAAGTTGCAGAATATAAGGACGTGATCACTTTGTACACCAGTATTCTTGCTTTAATACTAAGCGCAGCCTTGAGCAATATATCATTACTGACACAAACATCATGCATGATAAACAACACCCCGAGCAGCTATACCAGTAAGTCCATCCCATCCTCACAGCCTTTAATTACCTACCTGACTCAGTTCCTCCTCTTTCCCTCTCTTTGCCTCTCTGTCTTTAACTGACTCACAGGGATTACACAGTTCAGTGTCATTACTTATCCTGATACTTCAAAGGAGCTTTATACTGAGAGTTTTAATTTCCATCAAGCTCTATCTAGTTTTCCAAGTATACACAAAGTGTCCAGAAAAACAGCGTTGCCTCTGCAGGCAATACTCCCTCTTCATTTATGTGTGACACAACATAAACAGGTGCATATAACAGCAATTTCAACACTCACTCTGCATGTTAATGGATTACCGAGAATGGGCTTAAAGTCTTATCTAATAGACTTGATCATGGATGTCAGGCATTATCACAGATGTCAGGGGGAAGGCTTTGGGCATCAACAGAGCTGTGCAGGGTTGCTGGGGTTTTGGAAGACAGCAATCGCAAATTCTGCACACCTACTTAGCAACAACAAATCTTTCTGAGGACCCCATTAAAAAGTACTTAAAGGAACACTTCACCCCCGAAATGACCATTTGTATATCAGCTACTCACCCTGTGTTATGTTGAATTCTTGAAGAAAACTTTGTCTTTCTTGCCTCTGGTCAACGAAAAATCCAAAAAAGGAGAACATTCTTGATGAGTGAAGTAAAAGGGGTCCACATTTAACAACAGCGAAACTAAATCAAAATATCTGTTTATAAACTCTCACACAATTCATGCAGGTCTACCTCTGCCTTGATCAGTTAGTTAGTTAGTGTTATTGTTTGACTTTGGTGTTTTAAAGGGTTAGTTCGGATTCACAAAAGTCTGTCGATAACACAAACAGACTATTGATTGAGGCAGCGGTACACCAGCAGCTCCAATGTTCAGCGAGGTAAAATTACTGTTTCTGTCAATGGAGTCTGGTTTTGAAGAGAGCATAGATAAATTTCATTTTGCGTTCAGTTCCCCGTCAGAAATGGCTGTCTGTTTGGGAGTACTGAGCATACAACTGGATAAATGAGACTTGGATTATACTGCATTAGTTGTGTGAGAGTTTGTAAACAGATGTTATGATATCATTTTTCTGTTCTTAAGTTTGGGCAACTACAATCTGAAAATCCATCGGTAAAAAAAACAAAAAAACAAAAAAAAAACTTTTTTTTTTCTTCCTTTACCTCTGGAGGCACAGCCCGGAGTTTTTCGACTAACGAAAGTGCAGGGGCCTCGGCGATTGCTCACGCCCTTCACTTCCGGCGGTGCCCCCAGGGAATCGCCGTGTTGTGTACAAATACTTCGGGTAGAAAACCAGCAGAGTTTAGTTATATATCACATT